TGGACCCCAGGCACCTGGAAGAAGCAAGTGTTGGGACCATGAAGGGCTTAGTCTGGAGAGGGAGGGAAAGGTGAGCGCAGTGATGCTTTAAAAGTGCCTTAGGGTGGGGGTGGTTTGGGGATGGAGGGATTGAACAAGAAGGAAACAGGACTCAGGGACAGAGACAACAGTGTGGTGATTGCTGGGGAGGAGAGGGGTATAAAGTGACTGAAAGGTAATGTAAAAAAAAAATTACAATAAAGATTAAATTTTCAAAAATAAAAATAATAATAGTGCCCAAACTATGGCTGCATTATATTCTACATCCTGTTACCTACATGTGCGATTCATTTGAACAGGTTTGCAATTCAGATAATGCATTCGGGATAAAAATGTTTACAGGTGTTTATAGCACATACTTACTTGGACTGTGACAGTTCACATAACAAGGGCTGCTGTTGGAAGATGGTGTGTCCTGTGGGGAAACGAATAAATAGTATGACAGAAAGAGGATGGAGCACACCAAGCAGCAGGGGACAACATCAGGAGGGAGTTACAGCTTACACGTGGTGGTCGGGGTGGGCCTCACTGAGCAGATGGCATTTATGCAAAGACCTTGAAGGAGCCGAGAGAGGGAGCCCTGCAGATGTCTGGGGGAGGAGGTTCCCAGCAGAGACAAAAGCCTAGGCGGGCATCAGGCGGAGGGGGCAGGATGTGTGCAGGCTGCTGCAAGGCCTCTGGCCTGCCTTCTGTGTGGGTCGGAGGGTTTTGAACAGAAGCGATAGGACCACCCTGGCTGTTGTGTGGAGAATAGACTGAAAGAGGAAGCGGGAAGAGCAGTTAATAGGCTACACCAGTGACTGGCAAGAGATGAGGGTGGCGGCAGAGCTTTGGATTAAGCAACAGGTAGGGTGGAAACACCACTAAGTGAGATGGGAAAGGCTGTGGCTGAAAGAGGTTTGGAGGGAAAGATCCCAAATTCAGCTTCTCACAATATGTTTGAGATGTCTGTTGAACATCCAGGAGGGGATGTTGAATAGAGTTGAGTGTATGAGTTTAGAGTTCAGGAGAGAGGTCTGGGGGAGAGAAATCATTTGGAGATTCATCAACATATTTGGGACCATAAGAGTATATGAGATCACCGGGAGTGGAGTGAATATAAAGAAAGGAGCAAGTGCAAGGATTGAGGCTCCAGGGACCCTGATGTTAGGAAGCCAGGGAGAAGGAGGACCTGAAACCAGGAACGAGCAGCCAGAGGGTAAGAGGATGCCCAGGCGAGGGTAGTGGCCTGGCCGCCAAATGCAGCAGGCGTGGCTGGGCGGAGAGAGCGATCCACTGTGGCCCGGGAGGACGGAACAGTTCACCCATCCCCGGGGGAGGTTATCTGAGACCTTGTCAGTGGCAGTTTTGGTGGACTGGGGGTACAGGACGGCTGACAGGGATGCATTTAAGTGGAAACGAGAGAAGACTTCAAGAGGGCAAAAATAGACAAGTCTTAAGGAGTTTGCTATAAAAGGAAGGTGAGGTTGAGGGTGGTAGCCAGCAGGGCATGTGGGGACAAGAGAGGGCTGGTGTTTTTTTTTTAATGAGAGAAGTAACAGTATGTTATTACTAAGGGAAATGATCCAGAAGAGAGAAGAAAGTTGACCGTGTAGGTGAGGGAAGAATGGCTAGAAGAGTCTGAGTAGATGAGAAGGGATGAAAGCGCACACGGGCCAGTGGCAGGGCAGGAGGGAGGGAGGAGGACGTGCGGACAAACGTGGTCAGGAAGTAGGTGAGTGTGGCGGGTCTGTCGGAGCTCTTTTCCTAGTGTCTCAGTTTTCTCAGCAAAGCAGGAATTGAGGTTACCGGCTTAGAGTGAGGAGAAGGGTCAGGACGGGTGGGAGGGAGGCTTCAGGAAAACCGGAAGGCGAAATCGTCGTCGAGCGGAGTGGGAGAGTGGAAGGACTTGGAGAACGCAGTGGGATCGCTAAGCAGCTGTGCAGGTCTGCCTAAGATTGGGGGCCGTAAATTTAAAGGCAGAACAGTTCGCCTGATTGTATTAGTCTCTGCAGGCATGTTCAGCTGGTGCAATTGGATTTAAATAGGGTCATAATTTCCAAATGTGTAAATCAGAACAACAAGCAAAGGAGTTAAGGGCGTGTGCAAGGACCTGTTTATAAAGATTGATGATGGCATTAAGCTGCACAAGCGGGGGAGGAGGGACAGAGGAGAAGTGAAGGGATGGGAGGATCAATGGGTTGTAGACCTTGGTGGGCTTGAAGGGTTATCATTGTTGGCAAACGATAGAGAATGAGCTGAAAGGTAGGAAGTCAGAGACTGAATGGGATGGATGCAGGCTTGTAATTACTGGTAATGGTAAGGTCCCGAGTGTGATCCTGTGAGCAGCTGGGACCGATGTGAGTGTGAGAACAAGATCGTTGGAAAGAGCAAACGTATGTTGAAATCGTGAAGAGCTATGACTGGAGTAGTATTGGGGAGAGGAATAGTGTGTGAGGAGCCAAACTCAAGCCACGGACAGGAATGACCGGCAGTTCTAGGGGACCGCAACAGCAAGGAATAGAGGGCACTGTAAACATGCGGCATCAGTGCCAGGGGGAGTTGGAAGGGAGGTGGAAGGGAGAAAGTTCTAGAGCTGGTGATGAGGAGCAGGAGGACACCTGTGCCACCTCCAAGCCTGGCAGGATGTGGGTTGTGGGGGTGCCCTTCTATCGGAGGATGGTCGGTGGTGACCCTGGCCCCTACCCTTTGGAAATAGCACACACACACACACACGGATTCTAACAACGGGCAGTATCTCTAAGTAGTACCAAGTGTCCCCTATCCCTGGCAGAAATATATAAACCGCATTTTGGATTCTCCCAGTATCTCTGACATTTATTTTACAGAGATTTCTTAAATCAAAAGCCTAAATAAACTCAGGTAAAAACTTTGTCAAGATTATTGTTCATAATAGAGGTTATTACAAAAAGCATTGTCTAACAGATAAAGCAGTTTTTCCTTTATTATTTTTAATTGGTATAATGCTATTCTAATTACAAAACATTGTGAGATGTATTTAGGAGATTTTCCTTTCTGCAGCAAACAAAATCTGCATTTTATTTTTAAAAAATTAGAAATGGATAAGAAACCTAAAAGTAAAAAACTAAGATTTTTTTATTTCTAAAGGAAAAAATAGCAGAATATCTGCTCCAATACAGCAGAATAACTTCACCACCCTGGAGTAATAAAGATTTCTTAGCTAGGACCCAGAATGTGTTAAACATAAGAGGAAAAAAAATAATAACATTGACTAGATCAGAATTAAGTATTTCATCAAAAGATTATTAAGAAAATGAATAGGCAAAATATTTATAATACATGTGTCTGACAATGTCATGTATAAACTTAAAAACTTACAATTTAGTAACAAGATAAGCAAACTTGGGCAAAAAAGTTTGGTCAGGTACCTACTTCATAAATGGAGATTTACAAATTGCAACCACAGCGGTATTTCACTGAACGTTCCCGTCAGAATCCACGGATCAAAGACAGAGTGCGCCAAGTGCCGCTGGAGGCGTGGGGCGACTGGGGCACAAGATGGCACTGGAACTCCATCTGACAGTTTTTCATAAAATTAAACATGCATCTGCCCTGAGACCCAGCAATTCCTCTTAGGTGTTTGCCCAAGAAAACATAAAACACATGTCCCCACAGCCTTGTACGAGAACGCAGTCTTGGCCATTGTGGCCAATAACTAGAAACAATCTAAATGTGAATGTTCAGCAACAGGCAAATGCATCAAGTATGGTCCACATACCCATAGCATAGAATTCTACTCAGAAGTAAAACAAATGAACTATTGATACGCGCAACAACCTGTGTCCACCTCAAACACATTATGGTGGGCAGGAGAAGCCCTACCAGCATAGTGCGCACAGGATGGTCCCATTTCTATGGACTTTAAGAGCGGACAAAACTAATCTATGGTGAAGGAAATGAGAGCAGTACTTGCCTCTGGGAGTGGCGCAAGGTTGGGGAGGTTTGGAAGGATTTTTCTGGAGCGATAGAGATGTTCTCCCTCTTGATATAGATGTAGGTCGCATGGTATATGCATGTCACTCGTCAGTCTGTGCACTGGAGATGGGCACTTCACTGGGTTTAAATCAAACCTCAATTTTTTAAAAAAAGTAGTTTATAGAAATGTACTGGCATTCCTCAGACCCTCCTGCATATCTCTTTTTATAGTTTAGGAATAGTTTAGCCTAACTTTTTTTTTTTTTTTTTTAAGGCTAGAAACACTGCAATGTCTAACCCAGTTGAAGTTGGAGAGGAGAGTGGGACTAGAAGGAAAGGTTCCTGGAAAAAAATTATATCTGAGCTGAGACCTGAAAGACAAGTTGGTTAGCTGTGTACAGAAGCACGAAAGAGCCCTGGCTGGTGTGGCTCCATGGATGGAGTGCAGTGTGAACAAAGGGTTGCCTGAATTCCTAGTCAGGGCACATACCTGGGTTGTGGGCCAGGTCTCCAGTAGGGGGCGTGCCAGAGGCAACCCACATATCAATGCTTCTTTCTCTCCTTTCCCCTCTCTCTAAGAATAAATAAATAAAATCTTAAAAAAAGAGAGAAAGTACAAAAGAGCATCTGAGAAGAGGGAAAAAAAACAACACGTGAAAAAGCCCAAAGACAGGACAGCACCTCTGAAGTGTCAGAGAGGAAGAGGCAGGCAGAGGTGAGCCTGGGGAGGCCACACCACTCCCTAAGGCACTGGTCCTTGCCCACCTCTTCCTGCAGAGTGTTGGGAGAACTCAGATGCAGTAACAGCTCATTCTTGGGTGAAAACCCTTTAGGAACATACAGCATAATACAGGTAAAACCATTCCCGTGGTGGTGCCCTGATTCTAACACATACAGCAAAGAATGGTGAAATAATTGGGACTGGTAAGAATGTTTTTAGAGTTCAAAAGTTGTTTGCAAATATAATATTTCTTTCAGTCTGATTTTTGGTAGCACGGCTTTGATGTATTTTTTTCTTTTTTCAGGGTTCAAAAAGGATTCTTCGCTCCAACGAGATCATCCTTCCAGCCAGTGGACTGGTGGAAACAGAGCTCCAATTAACCTTCTCCCTTCAGGTGAGAATCTGCTGAATCATAGGTCACTAATATGCCATAGCCAGTCTAGTTGCCAGAGAGGCCTCCAATCTGGAAACTATCTTATCCAAGAGAGGATGTGGCTCCGTGAATTAAAGTCACCCAGTGAGTTAGCCATTGCAGGGACGGATTAAAGTCACCTAGCCAGCGCCAAGGCCCAGGGGGGCTGCTGAGGTATATACCCTGTCTCATTCTCCTGTTTCCTTTCCTTGGATAAGGCTGTTAGCCCACCCGTCCTACCATGCTCTGCGCCATCCTCTCTTAGTGACCCGTAGGACACACCCATTTTGCCCTCACATTGTAATCTCCGTCCAGTCCCCGCTCCTCACGTCTGTCTCTCTTCATCATCTCAGCAGCCCAAATTGAGTGCGTGGAGAAGACACATGAGCGTACGGCAAGGAAAGAGCCTGAACATGCGCTCTGTGCCAGGCGCTGCTCCAGGCAGAGGGGGGTCTGCAGTGAAAAAGACAGGCCAGATAAAGTCATCAGAGAACAAGACAATGTCCAGCGTGGATGGGATGGTGGAGTTGAGGAAGCTGGGTCGCAGGATATGGAGGGGTTGGGTGGCGGGAGGCTTTTGGGAAGGCCTCACCGAGGAGGAGGTATTAGAACTGAGAGCTGAACAGTAGGAAAGAGCCACAGCATGACTGGGGACAGAAGGAGCTGCAGGTGCACACGGTGTGAAGGTCCGACGACAGGCACAGGTTTTGCACAGTCATGCAATTTGAAGCTGGTATGTTAACGTGTGCGATCGTTGCCTTCTTGATGAATGACCCCTCTTTCATGAAATGATCTCTTTGTTCTGTCCTTTGTTCCTTTGGACCGCAGAGCTGCAGAGCCAGGCCCCAATGCAGAATCAGACCCCTGACAGTAATTTAATGACACTGCCTTACCCCCTGACTCCCCTGAGGACAGATGGGAGGCGGTGAAGCACAGAAGGATGACGTGCCCTGTGGCAGGGCCAGAACCCACCAAGGACCCAGTTGCTCATTAACTCTTCTTGACTCTGGTTTATACTTGGCAGTACCCTCACTTCCTGAAGCGAGATGCCAACAAGCTGCAGATCATGTTGCAAAGGAGAAAGCGTTACAAGAACCGGACCATCTTGGGCTATAAGACCCTGGCTGTGGGACTTATCAACATGGCGGAGGTGAGAGGAGCACAGTCTCCAGACTGGCGGCCTTTAAGTCAGAGGGTCTGAGAGGGACACCAGGCCCAGCCACGTCAGCCCAGCGAGTGATTTTCCCAGCCTCTGCTCTCGGGGTTTTATTTTGAAAGTTAATTCTTACATTGGAAAGTCAGGATATACCTTGTTTTTCCAGTACTCTCTCCCACACAAAATATTTTTTTAAATTTTATTTTTATTTATGTATTTAGTTATTTTTATTCCTCACCTGAGGACATGCTTACTAATTGTAGAGAGAGAGGAAGAGAAACGTCAAAGAGGAAAACATCTATTGGTTGCCTCCCATACATGCCCCGACCAGGGACCAAACCTGCAACCTAGGTGTGTGCTCTGACTGGGAATCAAACCCTTGACCTTTTGGTTTCCAGGATGACACTAACCAATCAAGCCACACTGGCCAGAGCAAGTTTTAACTTTTTATAAATTTTTATTATTTATTTATCTATTTTAGAGACAGGGGAAAGGAGGGAGAGAGAAACATCGGTGTGAGACACATCAATAAGTTGCTTCTTGATCAGCTGCTTTCTCGTATGTGCCCGGACCAGGGACCAAACCCAAGACCCAGGCCTGTGCCCTGACCGGGAGTCAGACTGGCTGCCTTTCACTTTGTGGGGTGACGCCCGACCCACTGAGCCACACTGGTCAGGGCAAGTTTTCTAACTTTTTTTTAAAAAATTCAAACTTACAGAAAAGTTGTAAGAATAGTATAAGGAATTCTCATATACCCTTCACCCAGATTCTTTAATATTAACATGTTACCACATTTTCCTTATTTTTCTCTATGTATATATACATTTATACCTATTTCCTTTTCTGAACCATTGAGAGTAAGTTGCAGACATCATGCCTCATCACATTAATTGTGCTGGGTTAAGTTCCTAAGTTATGTAAACACCATGCCTTCCTAAAGATCCAGACATTAACATCTGTACATGATTACCATCTGACCCACAGTCCCGATTCAGACGGTGCCACGTGCTTCAGCAGTATCCTCCCGAGGCCCAGGGTTTGACCTGGGATTGGTTATGTATCGCATTTAACTATGTCTCTTTAGTCTTGAAGTTCAACCAGCAACAGCCCCTCAGATTTTCCTTTTCTTTATGCCCCTGACATTTTTTAAGAGTACAGGCTGGTCACTTTATGGAATGTTCCTCATTTGGGTTTGTCTGATGTTTTCTGAAGATTATGTTCAGCTTATGTATTTATGGCAGAATTACCACAGAAATAATGCTATGTGTTTCTTGTTAATTTGTCCCATTACTAGTGGGGTTAACTTTTATCATTTAATTAAGATGGTGTCTGCCAAGATTTTCAATATAATGCTAGTAAATATTTTGTATTTACCAATGAAAAAAGTATTTTATAGGGAATTTTTTAAAGATTTTATTTATTTATTTTTAGAGAGAGAAAGAAAGGGAGAGAAACATCGATGGGTTGCTTCTAGCACACCCCCAACTGGGGATCTGGCCTGCAGCCCAGGCATGTGCCCTGACTGGGAATTGAACCAGTGACCTTTCAGTTCGCAGGCCAGCACTCAGTCTACTGAGCCACACCAGCCAGGGCTCTTTATTTATTTTGATGCTCTCAATTTATCTCAGATTTGGCCAGTGGGAGCTCTTTTGGGCTGGCTCCTATATCCTTTTTCAGGTGCCCCATCATTCTTCATTTTCTGATATAAGTTACTAGGCTCATTGTGTACTTTTCCTGATCCAGCCTTAGAAGGAGCTGATTCTCTGAAGATACCTGGTTCCCTTTAGTGGAATATGGTATTTAGAAACCAAGATCTAAGTACTAAGAGTGCTCATTTTCCCAACTGGGTTATCACCACTTCTAGACAGATATGCACATATGTATTCATATATATCATATCTATTTCCACATCTCTATCTACCTATCTAATCATGAGCTCACATTCCAGTCAATTCCAATAAAACACCATGGGGGCTCCTTCTAGCCTTTCCACATGTCTGATTCCCTTCCCCAGTGGTAAGAAGCCAGGCTCAGATTGTCCTTGGTGTGTTTGCTCATTTGTGGAGCTCCCCGTATGCCAGTCAGATCCTCTCAGTCCAGACAAGGAAGAAGCAGAAGGGGGCCACAGATCAGTTTTAAAACTTATTTCCATACCTCAGTACATTAAGTAGGAAAAAACTGTGGCCATAGTAAATAAAATGTGTGGGATAGCCCTCACCCATCTTTGTGTCCTCTTCACGCTGGGTGTCCGGCCAAGGGACTGGGGGAGCGAGGGGAAGCAGGCCCCGCCTTCCCAGCTCCGCACCCGCACCCGGACCCTCCTCCTCATTGCGAGGCGAGCGAAGGCGGCTTGTCCAGAGGCCAGCGCCCCCAGCCCAGAGGACTAGCGTATCTGCGAAGGACTTAAGCTAGAATACTGTCCTGAGGATTGGCGGTCATTTTCGATCTTGGGCCTTGCTTTTGATCTGTGAGCGCATGGCGTGACCAGAGGTTGGCACTTCTGGAGGCAGCTTTAAGGTAAAGCCTTGGCAGCAATAGAAGAGCACCATGGATTTGGAAGTTAGTGAGGAAGAAAATGCCTCAGCGGAATCCATGCCCGTTGCCTTGCCTGTCCATCTGACTGATGGACACCGGCAGGCCCGCCGTGCCCTCCGCAGTGTGGCATCTCCATTGCCGCTCTGTGGTCTTAGGTGATGCAGCACCCGAATGAAGGCGCGCTGGTGCTGGGCCTGCACAGCAACGTGAAGGACGTCTCTGTGCCTGTGGCAGAAATAAAGATCTACTCCCTGTCCAGCCAGCCCATTGACCACGAAGGAATCAAATCCAAGCTGTCCGGTAAGATGTCTGCAAGGTCTGAGGCCCGGCCGAGCGAGGAGCCTGTCGCCTAACCTCCATCTGGGGAAGGCGAGTGAGATAGCACCCCAGCGTCCCTGGGAAGGGGAAGTTCGGAGATCCCTGAAACGGTCAGGTGGCCTCCCGTGGCCGTGGCCGTGGCCCTCCTCTGCCCTTGCTGTGCTTCCGCCTGTGAGACCATGGCCGACCAGCCAGTCTCGTGGGCCAGGCCTTCACATGGTGAGGTGACCTTACTGTGGTGTCTACTTCCAGATCGCTCTCCTGATATTGACAATTATTCTGAGGAAGAGGAGGAGAGTTTCTCGTCAGAACAGGAAGGCAGTGACGATCCACTGCATGGGCAGGTAAGCTCCCACAGCCCGGTGTGTGAAGTGTCTGGGAAGCGGTTCCAGGCCCTCTTGGGGTTCCCCACCTTAATCTGTGCCCACCCACCTAGGACCTGTTCTATGAAGATGAGGACCTACGGAAGGTAAAGAAGACCCGGAGGAAACTCACCTCAACCTCCGCCATCACAAGGGTGAGCCTCAGAAAGTCTGGGCAGTGTCTGAGCTGAGCTTTTCATTTGGCTGGGGGTGGGGGCAGGGGTCTGCTCAAGGTTTGTAAAACCTGCACAGGACCCATCCCTCCAGCGTTCCGATGCGCCCCGTGTACCCCTCCTCCACCACCGCCTAATTAAGGATCACGCTTGCAGAGAACCAGCATTACTGATCAGAGCATTTATATTCTAGTTGTTTTAGGATTAAAAAAAATAAAGTAGTTGAGAACCTTTGTTTAAACTTTGGAATAGATAACAGGTCCTCAGGGAGCAGAGCACCCCCAACACCTACACCCCCTCCCCAGGCAGTCACTTCAAATCACGTCCTGTCCACCATGCAGAATGCTGGTCTCCCCTAGGGGGTCTCCATTTTAGCTCATTTGTTGAATTTACCCAGAAGCAATAGCCTAGTGCTCGGAACTGTGGGTTTGATAAAGTTTAATTACATTAGGTATAGTTCCTGCCTAAATAGATGCATAACCCCAGAGACAAATGCCTTTGGGTTATAGGTCTCCTGCACAAGATTTCCTTAGGGGTCACTGTTTTTGGAGAAATCAGAGTTCTGAGACACTTAATACCTGGATGATTCTGTAGTTCCTGTGAGAAAGTGTGGGAGAGGCAAAAAAGTGTTCGAAGTTTTTAGAAGAGAAATTCAGGTTTTTTTCCCCCAAGTCTCCCTGGGCCTCTCCAGTGCAGAGCTAGCCAGGGGGCGCCAGGAGCAGAGATCCTCACCACCTCCGAGGGGGAAATGCGGGCCAGACCTTCTAGGTGTGTGGTTGTGTCTGAGCCTGGCTTGCCGCCATGGGACGACCCCGTCGTCCCTCCATCCTCCCAAGGTGCCACTGGGCTCAGATATGAATCCTCAAGACCATAGCCTTGATTTCCCCCTTGCGCAGTGATGAGAGAGTGTGAGAACTGTGTCGTTGACCTCTGGTGTTTCATCTTTGATTGGCTCTGCAAAGTAATCTGGGCACGTCACCAGGGCCATTGTCCTCTGAGAATGGGGAGAGGCTAGAGCATCGCCCTCTGTTGTAGTTCCTTCTTCTAGGTTTTTCTTTTTCCTGTTCTGTAACCACAAAGAGGCCCTATTTTCTTCCCACGGGGCGCCCTCTGGAACTTTAGAACCACCCCTTCTGTGGTCGCCATAGCCCCGCCCCCCGCTATATGACCAGAGCTCAGTTCTCCTGTTCACAGTACCCACTCCCGCAAAGGTTTTTGTTACTAGCTGCAGGTACTTCCCAGTCTAATTTCCAGACTTAATAATTGTTCTTTAGTTTCTGTCTCCTTTTGTGCACATGCTTTATTCTCTCTCTACCAAGAACATTTTGTTCTAGATGCATTAATTGACTTGCTGTTCTCTGAACATGTCTTATGCTTCTGTCGCTGTGAACTCATATTATGTTCACTACTGTGAATGACCTTTGCACTTGTGGAAGCTCTGCCCTTTCTTGAAGGTATGGCTTAGTCTTACTTGCAAGTTGGTCTTTTCTGTTCCTCAAATAGTGAGTCTGTTTTTCAGGCAGGAAGTACTTATGGCCATTGTGCCAAATTGGAGACAGAGATCAGAAAGGCCCAGTCCATGCCACCAAGGAGCTCCCAGTGTTTAGTGACACTGACGCATCTAAACAACCCAGTGGGGCAGGTGCTAGGAGCTAGAGCTCCGTGTAAGGGGCAGAGCTGGCCTAAGGACCCATGGCCAGCTCTCAGCAGGAGCACCAGAAGGGCCTCAGAGCTTCAGTGACGAGATGTCGAGACCTGGATTTCTCACGACAACTAGAACTTCACCAGCTGGACTTGGGGAGAATGGTTAATCACGGCATAAGATAGCAGTAGAGGGGCGCTGAGGCGCACAACAGCAGGCGGCTCTTCACAGGACTGTGAGCAGTTAGTTTCCACTTGAACATGAGGTTGAGGGTCAAACGTTAAGATGAAGCTAGAAGCAGGCAGAACCAGCCCTCGGGCAGATGTGTGCTTGGGCCCCTGGAGGCCTCTAGGCTGGGGAGTGACATGATGAGATCTGCATTTGGAACGGTGGCTCTAGATTTTAGAGGTAACAGACTGGAAACGGGCTGGTAGGGCGGGTAGGGGCGCCACCCGAAGGCTGCTGCAGTTGACTCCAGGGAGCAAGAGGAGAAAGGCCCAGACGGAAGCAGTAGTGTGCAGCCAGAGCGAGGGCAGGAGTCAGCGAACACGGGGCTGTGGGCGGGAAGGGGAGAGGAAAGACTCCAGGTTTAGGCTTGAGGGACTGGGTGGATGGTGACATAGTAACCGGGGAGGGAACACGGGGGATGACAATGAGTTCCATCTGGGAAATGCTGCGTTTGAGGTCCCTGTATGATACGGAGGTAGAAGTTGCTGGTTGGCACCGTGGATCTGAAGAACGAGAGAAAAGTGTTGAACTGTAGGTGCCCGTGTGGATGATAGCAGAGCGAGTGTGGTGCAGGGCCCTGGGCACCCACGAGACCGCCTCCTTGCCCCGCGCACTGGAATTAGCCGCGCGCATGCCTGCCTTCCCTCACAGGTGTCAAGTGCCAGAGGGTAGAAACTGGCTCTGCCCACCTTCGTGTCCTCCCACCGCTCCTCACACACGTGGGCTATCAGTCTCTCTCTCTTGACTGGCTCACCGTCCGCAAGTGGGTCTTGTTTGAGAACTATTGTGCAATTTGTCCCTACAGCAACCTAACATCAAACAGAAGTTTGTGGCCCTCCTGAAGCGGTTTAAAGTTTCAGATGAGGTATGACCCCTTACTCCCGAGGTTGACGGTGAGTAGATTCCCCTGAGTTGCACCCTCATTCCTGGGGCGCACTCTTCATTGCCACTGGGAGTCAAGATTGCAGGACCCCCAAGTGAGAGGGTAGCTGAAGAAGGGCTTTAAGCTCCTTGAAAAGAGAAAGGCTTCACGTGTAGTACCCATGCTTCTCAGTGTTTGGAGATGGGGTGGCAGGATTACACCTAGCCATTGCTTAATACCAAGACTCTAGTTTGGGAATCAGTAACAAATCCAGTTGTCGTTGTCCCAAGGAAGATGTCATAGGGTGGGAGTGGCCTTGGTGGTCAAACCTTGAGTGACCAAGAATTGGCCATTAATGGAGAAGCAGCCTGGGCTCTGGCTGGCCCGGTGCCGGTTTTCACAGACTTCTCAGTGGACTAAAAAATGGATGAAGACAAAATTGTTGAGAGATGTCCTTGTCACGTGGGCTGTAGGAAGGCAGAGGCAGCCCACTTGGGGTCGTGGGCTTCTGGGTTTCTTGCGCCCATTCTTCAGGAGAGGTGTGTCAGCACTGCCACTTTTCTTCCTGATACCTGGTCCATAGTGTGGGGTATTAGAGGCGCTGCAGCGGGAGGGTGGCCTCCCCACACCCCTGCCCTCGGGGTTGGGTCGCATCAAGACTACCCATGAGTGTGAAGTCATGGCATGTCCCTTAGCGGGCACTAGTGAGGGAGGCCAATGGTGCCTGTCCACGAGGGAGGAGTTGTACATCCACCATCAGTTAATAGGGGTTACCCCCAACTCAAAGGCATTTCCCCCTGCAGGTGGGCTTTGGGCTGGAACACGTGTCCCGGGAGCAGATCCGCGAGGTGGAAGAGGACTTGGATGAACTGTATGACAGTCTGGAGATGTACAACCCCAGTGACAGTGGCCCTGAAATGGAGGAGACGGAGAGCATCCTTAGCACTCCAAAGCCCAAGCTCAAGTGAGGCCCGGCTTCCCCTAGCAAATTGTCTCCTCTCAGCTTTCCTTCCCAGACCTCGTTCCCGTGCTTCCCCTTCCCCCACCCCTCACCCCGCCTATTAACAGGGAGTCTTGGTTCTTCATTCTTGTCGAACATCCAGCTCTCTGGACAGAGATCATGGTTTTTGCCTCTCATTGGCAAAAGTCCTGAAGGGACTCCCCTGAAGTCCTTCCGTCCAGGGCCCTACTTGTCCAGCCTCTGCTGTGCCCTTCCTCACCAGGTGTCCTTGAAGCCCAGGTCGTTGATCTTTCTTGCACACCAGCTCTACCCAGCTCTCCAGAAGCAGCTGTTCTGGGCCCTGCTGGCCACTGACTCTGGCTGTGCTTCTTTACCGCAGGCCCTTCTTTGAGGGGATGTCGCAGTCCAGCTCACAGACGGAGATCGGCAGCCTCAACAGCAAGGGCAGCCTCGGCAAAGACACCACCAGCCCTGTGAGCAAGGCCAATGGCTACGGTGTAGGGGAGCGGGTCCTGGGAAGTGCTGGCCTTTGACACCCCGGGCCCTCTGCCCTTGGCTCGCCTAGTGACCTTAGAAGGGTGACCTCCTCTTGCTTCAACTTCGGGGGTCCTCATCTCAGTCCTGGCTGGGGGCTTAGACTCTGAGGGCATCACTGTGGCCGTCTGGCTGTTGTTTTTGGTCTGATCCCACCATGGCTTAGAGCCCTCCTTCCCAGAGTGCACAGCACCCCAAAACCTCTCCCTCAGCGTCCATCACATGGTGGCTGGGAGCATAGCATCCAGCCAGTGGTGGACCGTTCAGCTCTCCAGGCTGAGGAAGAACAGGTGTGGGCGGGCAAGAAGCGCACAGGTCTGTCTGTTCAGGAGACGCTGAACATATGCAGGTTTATTTATAGAGGGAGCAGTGCTCTCAGACAACTCAGAATTTAGCGGCCAGGTTTCCATTTTGCTGGGTGAGCAAGAAGAGAAAGGAGCTGACTGCTGTAGCACCCCAAGGGCCCCGCGTCATCCTGGACCGTGCCCTGTCCCTGCTTGGGAAGGTTCTTCCAGCGGCGGATCAGAGGCAGGAACCGGGCTGATGCTGTAAATACCTCAGGCCCTGGGAGGTGGCTCTTCCTCTCATTTACGACTAAACACAAGAAGACTAAAGGCAAGAAGATGTCATGCGTGATTTTAGAAACCCCAGTGTCTTTTCCTTAAAGAAACGGAATCCTTTAAGTCCTCCTATTCTTGCCAGTTTAAGAGAGGGAATACAAAACTCACCCTGCAAATACGTATCAATAGTGGGGAAATAACATGAAGTGTGTGAGGTGCCTCATTCCCTGAAAAGCACTTGTGTCTATGGAAGGGCTTACCTCCTGTCCCAAGTGTCTGCAAACCATCAGGAGCCGCCGCGCCGGCGTACTGCCTGCTGCCACCAGGTGGGGCTGTTGTCCACCTAATTCCACTTCCTGGTGAAGGCGCAGCAGGCACAGTCTGACCCTGGAACAGCGGCACCAGGTGGCGCTAGTGAGGACGCAGCACCGAGAATCCCGCAACAGAGAAACCTCAGGCCTGGGCGTGCAGACCCTGCACGTTTCAGCAACTCTCCCACCCAGGCTCCTGTGATCTGGAGCTGAGGGCGCCTCGCTAGGCTATTTATGTTTAGAATGTGGTTGCTCTTTCTCCCGGGGCGGCTGGATGCCCCTGCTGAATTGTCACTGTGCATGTGGACAGATCCTTGACCACTAGGGACAAATCCATCCTAAATATAAATGTAAGTGATGAGGACTTGGCCAAAGGAGGACCATTTCAGTGTCCTCGGAATGCAGAACAGGGCTGTACTGTAACACAGTGCAGTTAAATGGTTGACTGAGGTAATGGCCCCAGAGCCCAAGCATGGCACTGGCGTGGGTGAACGCTCAGGAAATGCTAGGGGCTGTTGGTATTAAATCAGTAAGAGAAATCAGTCTTCACAATAGAATGGCATGAGAGCCCCTGTTTAGGCAAAACATTTATTTGGAGAAAGGGAGGGCTGGGTTGAGAGCCTGTGTTCTAGAGGCAGACTTCTGAGTTTGGATCTTGACCTCACTGGTCCGCTGGCTGTGTGCTTGGAGCAGTTGCCACACCTTCGCTCCCTCATCCGTGCAGCTGTTTAAAGCGCGCTCCCTACAAGGTAGCGTGAAGGTACAGTGGGACGGTGCAGATGGAACCTCGAGCACGGTGTTTAGTCGACGGATGGAATGATTTACGGCAACTGACAGAACTTAGGTGTCTTTTCAGTGAATCTTCCAAATTCTGGTTTCCTTGGCCAGATTTCATACTCGCTTTGCTGATTCTCCATGACATTTCTATTTTGAAGAATCCCATATGTCTTGATGTGGGTGTGCAACTTTGGAATTCTTTCGTGTGAAAGATACTTTGAGAAGGGACTACAGAATGAGGCTGTGCTCTTACGCGAAGAACTTCTGAATGTATTAGGGGAAAAAAGACTGAGATTGTGCCTACGTAGGCAGGCCTACACATGTTCATCCTTTCTCCCTGATTTCCTAGCATTGTTATTAATTTTTCCTTTTGTTCCCTAATTTTTAGAATATTTAGTTTATCACTAAAACCAGATGGGATTTCTGCTCATAGAATTTATTACAGCTGTTGAGTTCTCCCAAGAGTTCAGCACACAGAAGCAGCATCATTTGGCCCTCTAAGCTGATAACCACAGGCCCTGGCAGTCCAGAGAGGCAGACTTTCAGCCAAGGCTGCCTGCTGCTGAAAACTGCTATTTCCATAGCACTGGAAATAACGGTGTTAGAGCCTGGCTAATACTTCATAAAAGTGGTAGCCAAAAATAGTCTCTCCACACACATGCAGGAGCCTGCGCATCCTCTGCAGCATCCAGCGTTGCCCCAGGCACCGTGCTTCGGGCTACTGGCCTCTGCCTCCAGTGCCACGCAATTAGGCAGACAGGGCTCCTGCGCTGCCAGGCTGCCAGCATCCCAGCGTCCTGCGGTGAGGAAAGCCCTCGTGTTTATCGGCTCAGGAATAGAAACACAGAGGGTCAGAGTTTGCTCCTCGCGGGTGGTTGGGAGCACCTAGAAGAGTCAGTCAGTAACTGGCAGTGCCCCCCCACAACCCCTGCTGCCAACCCCGGGCCAAGTTAAAGGCCTGTAGGGGTGGCGGCTTGGCCGTGGAAGTGCACCGTAGCAGTCTGAGGGCTTAACTGGAAGGCACGCTGCCTTAAAACCTTCCAGCAGAATGGTGTCCTCCAGAGGTCCAAAACTGAGTGAAATCCTCTTCAGACCTAAGTCTGAACGGGACTTCAATGTGCTTCTGCTGTTAACACTGGTTACTGTTACACATAATGTGTAAATGACCTGGCTGTGCAGTCTAGAGGCTGCCTGTTGTGTGTGGCTCTGAGTCAAACCACCTCAAGATCTGGGGTCATGGCGTTTGGTTAAAGTGTGTTGGGTCAGTCTTGCAGGTGGCTTCTCAACCAGGGATGATTCTTACCTCCCAAGTAGCATTTGGCAGCAACTGCACACTTCTTTGGTTGTCACAGCAGGAGGCAGGGTGGGGATAAGGGGCTGCTACTGGGATCCAGTGGGTAGAGGCTAGGGATGCTGCTGCACAGCCTGCAGCACACAGGACAGCCCCAGCACAGGGAGGATCTGGCCCAAGGTGTCAATAGCGCCAAGACAGAGAAGCCCCGGTTCAGAGAACGACACAGAGGCCTTCCTCCGTGACCCTTGTTCGGTGCTTCGCCAGGTGACTCCCTTGGCCTGCTAGCCTGGCGCTTCTCAGCGCTCTGTCATTTACTGATGCTTAGAGGAAGGACTTTGAGTAAATAGGAAGAAGTGGGATAGCTTTGATCTTTTCTGTCTTCCTGATTCCCCACAAGAGCCAGAGATTCACTGACTCCGATATTTTTTTCTCCAGAGCATTTGAGATCTTGCTCTGTGGCATTGTTGTCAATAGGTTCAAACAAACTCTTGAACAATTTTAAAAGTATATCTTTTCTCTAAGTACCATGACCCTCAACTGATTGTGACTGATAGTATATGCACAGCCAGAGGACTATTAGCAAATATGAAAATCTGGCTATGTATCTATACTTGACAAATAAATTTTTAATAACTATGAGAAATGTTGATAAGTGTCAGATACAAAGGGAGAATTAATTCACCCTTTGTTCACCCAAATGGCTTAAGACTGGGTGTTTTTTGCTTGGTGTATTCCATTTGAGGGTTTTCTAGGTGTTTGTATGAAGCAAAAAGCATTTGGCTACCATGGATGTCTTTAGTCTCAAAATCAAAGACCTAAACAGTAAGATTCTCCACTATTCTCAGCAGTTTCTGGCAAGTGGGAGGGGCCCCATATGTTCCTCCTGGGCAGGGGGTTTACTGGGTCCAGGGCAGGGCGTTATGGATCCCAGAGCAAAGGCCTCTACACTCTGAGCTGCTCTCCCCAGTGACGTCTTGGGAGAGTTACAACCTCCGGGCTCCGGGCTCCGCATCTCATTGTTACTGATTTAATGATTGTAAAAATAACTGACCCTCCTGAGGCTTAGTCTTCACTGAAATAACTTCCTTATAAGATGAAAATTCCAAAGATTGTATTAGGTCTTTAGATAAGTATTTAAATAAGATACTTTAGATAAGTGAAAGTATTCCAAGTTACTTAGGTACCTAGAAAACAAATTAGTGGTAATTATTTGGATTGGTGATGACTAATTATTATAATTTTTACAGATGGAATTGGCTGCTCTAGAAAAAGTCAAATCTGCGTGGATTAAAAATCAAGATGACAGCTTGACTGAAACAGAAACTCTGGTATGCACGGTTCAGTCTCCTATTTCAGCTGTTTAAAATAGTTTCTGTATGTTTAGAAATAAAGGCAAAAAGACCCTCAGGACCACCAGGGAAATTTTGCCTAAATTTGTAGACTTGTGAATGTCCTGTGTTCTCTTTCTCTTGAAAGCCTTGCCCATGGAACATAACCTGCTCTGGGGACTGTGCTAGTCCCCAAATTAGTGAACCAGAAATGTCCCCATTCTGTCCTTTCATCTGATCAAATGCCAATTTGAATAATTTTTCACTATCACCCTCATTGACTTCTGAGAGAGGTGATGACCCTTGTCTTCCCCTGAAAAACCATCCCTTCCTCCCATGCTGCTCTTACTGTGGCCAGGCAGCCACATCGTTAAATCGCCAAGGACTCACGGGTCAGCTCCTTGCCCCAAGAGGTGCTAGAGCTGCCCAGGGGAGCAGCCCAGGCCCTAGTGACGGGATGGGCTGGCCGGGGTGCACAACTTCGTTACATGTTGAACCCACCGCACATGCATGGGGCAGCTGGATGTGCTGAGCGCTGAAGAGGCAAACGTGAGAGCACGCCTCCGCCACCTCCGAGGTGTGACCTGGCAGTGGGAAAGCCAGCCTGTGCACAGCAGCGGCAGTGGGGTTTCAGCGGGGGAGGACGTCGGAGCTGGGCCTTGCAGCGTAGCTGCAGTTCACCCAGCGGGACCAGGGTCTGGACTGGGCGGGAGGGAGCCGAGAAGGTGACCGATTACCATCTGGGGGTGTGCTGTGCAGCAGCCTCACGGTGGGAGCTGGAAGTTCAGTGGAGTCCCAGAAAAAATTATTTTAGGCTTTTGTTTCTTGTAATAAATAATGCTGCACTAAAGATCCGGTGTATGACAAAACATCAGGCTTGATTCAAGATTAATTTAAAATTTACAGCCCACTCTTTGCAATTCACCAGTAACCTGAGTAACCAGCTTTCGTCCTTGCCCACTCTGGTCTGTACTGCACGGTGGTCATTTAAAACCGGAGTTCAATCCTATTGCTTCCTGATTAAAACGCTCCTTCCTGCCTAGAGAAGCTAGATCCTCAGTTCAGGGTTGTGTGTTGACAAATAGTTTGTAAATGTGGGGGACAGACTGAATGCTAAGACAGCGCCCAGCACGGTGGGTGGGTGGGTGGGTGCACTCTTTACCCAGGAAGAGAGCTCTCACCGGGTGGAGGAGGAGCTTTAGAAAAGCCGGGGGCGCTCTCCTCATGGTGGCGATGGCCCTGGCAGACCCTGCGGGGCTCCTGGTGGCGCTAGGTGAACAGGAACCTTCGCTGCTCCCTTTCCTCCTCGGCAGGAGATCACTGACCAGGACGTGTTTGGAGACGGGAGCACCAGTCTGGTTGTGCCAGAGAAAGTCAGGACACCCATGAAGTCCAGCAGAACAGATCTCCAAGGCTCTGCCTCGCCCAGGTACTCATGACAGGGAGGAACTCTGGAGGGGGTGGGGGTCAAATGAAGGAAACCAAGCCGAAGGCGGGGGCTGCAGCTGCACTTGGCAGAGCTTGTGGCCTGGGGCAGAGTGGGCTGGTGGTGGCTTGGGGTCAAGGGGGTGTTTCAACCCCCACTTTTGCACATGTCTGGCAGCAAAGTGGAAGGGGGACACACCCCCCGGCAGAAGAGGAGCACGCCCCTGAAGGAGCGGCAGCTCTCCAAGCCCTTGAGTGAGAGGACCAACAGCTCCGACAGCGAGCGGTCCCCAGACCTCGGCCACAGCACACAGGTACCCTCTGAGCATCCCTGGGCCTCGGTTCCTGTTTTGTCGTCTTCCTGGGCAGTTAAGTGAGAGGAAAGGAGGACTACCCTGAAATGCTCTAAATAAAAGCCCTAAAAGCAGACCTACGTAGAGAAGTCTAGCCTACTTGTTATTTATTACTCATCTGGAATTGGCTTCAGGGCTGTTTGCAGGGAACCAGGGCTTGGGGGAAGAAATGCTAGTATTGTCCCAGCCTATCATCGGCCCCACATGGCAGTTCCATGCCTTCTGGTTGGGTCTGCCTCCATGAGACATGGGAGTAGAGGGTGCGCATTGACCCGGGTTCTGGAAGGTGGCAGCCGTCAGGGTCTCGTTGGATGCCCGCAGCCTGAACTCTGATTCCTTTAGTGCTGTTGTGGGCCCATCCTTCTGATTTCAGGCTGGCAAATCAAGAGCAAAGCATTTGATTGAAAGACCTTAGAGAATGGGCTGGAACAGAAGCACAGAAGAAGCTGGGCCCGGGGACTGTGCTTTCCTTTTGAAGGCCAGTGGCACCAGGGGTTGGGGAGGGACTTTATCTGAGCTGACACCTCACACAGCTCCGGTTCTTATGCAGTTAACGGCAAGCCTGTCCGTTTACCTGAAAAATGCCATTGAGGGAAAGTTCAATCATTTTCGCCTCCTGAGTTTCCCAGCTGAAAATGAAGCCGAGACTAGAGTAGCCCAGGGCCTGGGGCGATGTGTTGTCCTTCTGGTTCATCTTCGGTCCTGGAATGCCTGTTGGTCCTGTGGCAGCGAGGCTCCGGCGCAGCATGCGTTGCCACTCTCATTAGTTCTCTCCCCAGTGCCCTTATTTCTGCCCCCGTGTGCACCTGCTCAGCGCCCTCCCCCTCCTCCTCTCCTGGTCCTTCCACGCCACCTGTCCCGTCTGCCGGCCTGTTTGTCCCCCTCGTGGGATGCCTCCTGCGCCTCCAGCTTTGTCTGCCCGTCCTGTTAGGAGGGCTGCGTGGCTTTGCTCCCGCGGACACGAGTGTTCCCTGAGGACTCCCTCTACCTGGTCTTTGTCCGTCTCCTTTCCAGTGTGGTCTGACCAGTGGGGCCCTGGGTCTCCCCCACAGATTCCTGGTCTCCGAACCCCTGTTCCAGGAATTCTCCACCCAGTACCGCCCTCAAGCTCCCTGGGGACTGCCTCACAGACACTTTTGTCCCTGCAGATTCCAAGAAAGGTGGTGTATGACCAACTGAATCAGATCCTGGTGTCAGATGCTGCCCTCCCAGAAAATGTCATCCTCGTGAACACCACAGACTGGCAGGGCCAGGTAAAGCGCTGGACCGCAGGGCCCGGGCGGAAAGGTTCTGGAGAGCGCGCGACACCAGGGGCGTGATGAGAGAGGCGGGGCGCTGAGGAATGAGAACAGGATCCCCGTATCTCAGCCTCCTCCCCCCCTGAACTAAGCCCACAGCTCTGGACTCTAGTCACATTTCTGTCATTTTCCAGCCTTTGGGACCTTACGTCACTAACTTTCGGTACATCAGTTTTCTCACCTGTGAAGAAAACAACAGTGTCACCTGCTCTGCCTTCCTCCAGTGTGGCTGTGGGTGTCAGAGAGCATCCCAGGAGCAAGGCCCCTGAGAGGTGCCAGGCGCTCTAACGCCCAGCAGCTGCCCGTAGTTTCTGTGAAGGTGGCTCAGAAGGGGCAGAGCAACCAGCACCCCCACCGCTGTCCACCTAGTTAGATCCCGATGCCGAATCCCTCTTCCGAGCAGTCTGAAGGGCAGAGGACAGGTCCCCACAACTTGGTCTGGGCCCTGCCTGCCCTCTTGGCACCTGTGGGGGAGCCGCGTCCTGGCCCCCTGGCCTTACCGGTGTCCCTGCCCCTTTCCTCCCCGCCCCCAGTACGTGGCAGAGCTGCTCCAGGACCAGCGGAAGCCTGTCGTGTGCACCTGTTCCACCGTGGAGGTCCAGGCCGTGCTGTCCGCCCTGCTCACCCGTATCCAACGCTAGTAAGTACTCGACTCCTCTCCTGCCCTTCGAGGCGCCTCTCACCTCACCCTCCCACCCTGACTTCCAGGCGGTGACAGGACCTGGCCTCGTCAAACCAATAGTCCACACCGGTGCGTGGTGGGGCAGTGGCAGGTCATGGTGCTCGGATGTCCCTGCTGGCCCTCAAGGGTCAGGGCGTGGAAAATGTCATTCACCTGCCCTTCCTGCCTCCCCACCTGGACTCCTGCCACACCTTGACCTGCCTCATCCTCTTAAACCCACGATGAAGAAGGCCAGGAAGAGAGAACCCAGGGTTTACAAAGACCCTTCACTCCGTCCCTCTAACTGTCCCGTGCTGCTTGCAGTCCAGAGTCAGGGTTTCCCTCCCAGGACCTCCCGTGGGACCCAGAGTCCCTGCTGGGCATCCTGGGTTCATGCCCACCTGAGCCCAGGGACGTCGCTGACCTGTCTCCCTGTCAGCCTCAACCAACTCCGCCTTCTAGACAGTGACTGGTCCTCTCAGGTCCTGGATGCCTCCCTATTTTCAAAAGCACCAGCTTATTGCCTTTCTTGTATTATTTTGTTTGTTGGTGTGTTTCACCCTATGGGTTGTTGCGATCAAGTCAAGTCTGAGCTTGGAGCCTTCCTCTGAGGAGGCTGCTGGTGAGCCTCCGGGAGGTAGTCGTGACTTTCCCCTTGCTCCCCAGCTGCAACTGCAACTCCTCGATGCCGAGGCCAGTGAAGGTGGCAGCCCTGGGCGGCCAGACGTACCTAAGCTCTATCCTCCGGTTCTTCGTCAAGTCGCTGGCCAGCAAGACCTCCGACTGGCTTGGCTACATGCGCTTTCTCATCATTCCCCTCGGTAAGACACCAGGCCCCTCCACCTCCACCCCCGCCCCCGGCGTCAGGACGCTGGGTTGGGTCCGCGGAAGGAGCGGTCCGGGCCCACATGCCAGGCGTCACCCCACCCCAACCAGCTCAGCTTCTCTGGCCTCCACCTGCCAGGTTCTCACCCTGTGGCCAAATACTTGGGCTCAGTCGACAGTAGATACAGCAGCACCTTCCTTGATTCTGCCTGGAGAGACCTGTTCAGCCGCTCGGAGCCCCCAGTGTCAGGTAAAGTCCCCTTGTCAGGGATCGAGACAGGATGCGCCTGGTTCAGGGAGAGGCTGCCTTGGCTGGAGGGGGCCACACGCACACCTCGCCCCTCCACAGCTCGCGCTCCCCCAGTCGCTTTGCATGTTTGTCTTCTCGGGTTTATTAAGAGGAGGCCCATCCTCCCTCCCTGGACGCTTTCAGTCTCTGCTGTTTGCTCTGCTCCTACACATCTAGAAATAAGGAGGACCCTGGAGCAGTGCTTGGGGGGACGTGCCTAGTTGTACAGATCAGGTGAGAGCAGAGAATAGCTCCTAAGCAGCCTATTGATAAACAAGTAACCCCACACCAACCGTGTGCTGAAGGACAGAGGGAAGTGGCAGGGACTGGAGCGAGCCGGGGCTCTGAGGCTGAGGAGACGGATGCGTCCCCGCCCCTGAGGAAGTGACGGGCACCGACGGGTGGAGTGGAGTGGAGGGGTCCCCCAGGGCCACGAGGTTGGTATGAGCACAGACGGAGGCCTGGGAGCAAAGCACGGTCAGCCTGGGAGAGAGCGGGGCCCCGGCAGGCAGGGGTCGGGCCAGGAGGGCGAGGACAGCGCTTTGGCCCCTGGTGTCTTCAAGTCAGAACCATCAGATCTGTAGAGCCTCTGATTCCACTCACGGGTCTCCAGAAGGGGCTCTTTAAGTGGGGCACCGGGTTTGCCTGCTGAAGTCAGTCGGAGCTATCTCCTGGCCTTTCTGCAGAGCAACTGGACGTGGTGGGGCGGGTGATGCAGTACGTCAACGGGGCGGGCGTGACGCACCAGCTTCCTGTGGCTGAAGCCATGCTGACCTGCAGGCATAAGTTGTAAGTTTCACTTCAGGATATTACTTATAGGCGGGGCGGGGTAGAGCAATCTCAAGTCTTTGCTTTATCACGTTTTCCTTCCTACCCTGCTTCCCTGTGTAGGAACCTAGGAAAATGTAAGAGACAAAGAGAGACAGTGTCTTTACTGCCTCCCCCCTGGCCCGCCGGCCCTTGCCCTGGGCCTCCGTGCCCGTCTGGGTGCCCTGAGTTCAGAGAGGCCCAGCCTTGGGACAGTAGCTCAGGACTGGGAGCAGGGGGTCTTTTGCCTCCATTTTGTGGCTCCTCATGCCATCCTGAAACCTGGTGGGAAGGTGCCCTGTGGTGCCTGGACTCCCTTAAAGCACAATAGAGTATGAGAAGCCTTCCACACGGGCTCACCCACTAACCGTGACGCTCTCCTGTCTCTCCCGGCAGCCCTGATGAAGACTCATATCAGAAGTTTATCCCCTTCATTGGTGTGAGTACTAACTCCCCTCTCCTCTGTGCCCCGCCTTTCCCAGCCTTCCTGCCCGCCCCCGCAACATGCACATGAAAGACTCATCTAGACAGTGGGTCTCACCTGGAGGCGATTCTTTCCTGGGACATCTGGCGATGTCTGGAAACATTTTGGGTTGTCACAGCTGGAAGTGGGGGTGCTCCTGGGATCTTGTGGGGAGAGTCCAGGATGCTGCTAAATGCCCTGCGTGCACAGAACGGCCCTGCCGTGGGGAATGGTCTGGCCTCACGTGTCAGTGGTGCGGAGGCGGAGAAACGCCAGGCCAGCACAGGTGCTGGCTGCTCCCTTCAGCATCTCCTTCCCGGAATCATGGACCGCCCCCAGGTCATCGCTGGTGTCTCCTGTTTAGTACACCAGGCCCGGAACCTGGTGCCTTGGCCTAGGGAGTGACGCCCAGCACATAGCTTCTGCAGGCCCAGGGAGAAGAAAGCTGCCACAGGAAGAATGGTACATGATGCCCTGAAGAGAAGTCCAAGAAATAGGTTGTTTCCATCTTTAGGGTCAGAAAGACCACTGAGAATAAGGATCTTTTTTCCCTATTGAGTCAAGGGAGGATCTACTAGTGGATTTTGAAACTAAAGGGAATGCCTCATGGATCGCATCGGTGTCAGGTAGTGCCAATCTTCGCTCCTTTTGGCGGTCACTGGGCCATGAGGCCGACCTGCCAAGAGAGGGAGCCCCGAGGGGACAGCTGACCTCCTGCCAGGGCCAAACTAACCATAGAAACACGACTGAGACTCGGATTTCCAAGTACGAGATGATCGAACTTCCCTTCCAGTCAGCTTGTACTCTCTGTGTGGTCTCCTCGAGGCAAAGCTGGTCTCCCAGCCTCTGGGGCAAAGGGGCAGATGAGGGCCCAGCTGCCCCTGTCCCTGTTCTCTGCTCATCTCAGATGCTGGATGTCTTGAGCCATCCTGGGAGATGCCTGAGCCTGGGGACATGTACTTGCCCCTTCTCATGCCTTACAAAGCCTCCCTTCTGGCTGGTCCAGTAAGTCCCTGGCAGCCACCGGGGCTGCTCCCATAGCTGTGTTGGGGGCCCTGGGCCGGGCCTGTAGCCTGGGTGGCACCCAGCTCACATCCTCACGGAGCTGTGGGTCGCTACCCACGCTGGCCTCACAGCCAGGGGAGAGGTATAAAAGACGTGAAATTCAAACAGACAAAGGAGGTGGCAGCCTCCTTCAATGCCAGTGGGGCAAGAGGAGTCGTATCCAGGAAGCTCAGTGTCAGTATGTTACTGCCTGGGATCTAAGGATGCATAGGGAATTTGGGACAAATGTCAGTGAATGGCAGCATTGTGTTCTGAGCAGGGAGCCTCAAGGGGACCATCTGCACATGAGCTTCACTTCACGCCAGCCCCCAGGGTCCACCTTCTGTGGCATCCCAGCTCTGCTGAGCCCCTGCCAGGTGCCAGAGCTCCCGCCTGCCAGTTCACAGGGCTTCGGTCCGTTGACATCACTGCTCTGGCAGTTAGTCTGTCCTCAGCTGTGCCATCTGGCCACTGGAGGGCGCCCTCTATCCTTCCCAGAATTTACTATGGACACCTAAAATTATTGGGAAGCTGGAATGAACCCCACTGCCTTAGAGGGGGTGAAGCTGGGGCCCCTCCTCACTGGCATTCCTCCAGATTCCAGGGAGTCTGGAAAAGAGGGAGCAGGAAGCAGCAGGGCTGCGCCTTGGCTTGGTGCCACAGGGAGGCATGCGGAGCGGTCCTCCCTGCCTCGCTCCCGTCTCCCTTGGCTTTCTGAGGACGGCGCTTCACGTCCCTCTCTGATGTGAGAACAAGGCCTCCTGCATATGTGATCTGAGACAGAAGGTCAGGTGCCCTTGCCCCTGTCCCTGGAGAAGAGCCATGAGGTCTGTGTCCCTACCTCATTGTGTGGAACTGAGTATATTCTCTTAAAGATCCGGGCTACTCTGGATTCGCAAAGATTTTTAAAGCCGATGATCAAATAACATGTAGCGATGGCTGTCGTACCCAAACGCCTGCTTCCAGTTGGATCAGAACGTGTGCCACTTTCATGAGACATGTTCTCTCTCTCTTCTTTCCTCCCAGGTGGTGAAGGTGGGTCTGGTTGAAGACTCTCCTTCCACTACAGGTGAGTGCCAGGCCCCTTTGCTTCTGTGGAGTGAGGGTGGGGCTTCCCGGCCTCCTCTCTCGCCCAGCAGGCCAGAAGGTGAAGACTTTGGGTGGCCTCGGTGAAGCCACAGTTTGAGCAGGACACTGAGCACCCTCACTCCCCAGCAAAGCGCAAGGGGTGGCGGGCGGGTACTAAGGCCCAGAGGAGAGCGGGCTGCCCCCGAGCTAGCGGGGCTCCTCAACTCCTTGCCACCAACAGGTCAGAGGTGGCTTTCACTGGCCAATTGTGTTTGTCACCCGATAGGTGATGGGGACGACTCACCTGTGGTCAGCCTTACCGTGCCCTCCACCTCACCGCCCTCCAGCTCAGGCCTGAGTCGAGATGCCACAGCCACCCCGCCATCCTCCCCGTCCATGAGCAGTGCCCTGGCCGTTGTGGGGTAAGGCGCTCTCCCTCACGCCTGTCCTTCCTGCCGTGCGCGCCATCGGGGTCCGGGACCTCCCTGAGGTCAGAGGGTAGGATGGCAGCAAGGACGCTGGCGTGAGAGTGCGGAGACTTGGCTCGCTGGCCGGGCAAGTCGCCGCACAGCTCTGTCTGCCCTGTCCTCTCACGGTCACAGGGTTGAAGGAGGGGCCCTCTGCAGCCTGTGAAGTGCTGTGCGCGTGTCTCGTCAAGGGACTTCCCCGCGTGGCGGACAGAGCATGGGCGTGGGAGTCAGGCACACCTGGTTTGAGCTGCAGTTCGGTGGTATAATCAGTGACACTTGTTAAAGAACCGTAACGGGGGATTTGTTCACGGTGGGGGCTTGCTCGACAGGGGTAGGGAGCACTGTGATGGGGCTCAACCGGAGCAAGTGAGGGTTTATAGCCAAGGAGCGGTGTGGGGGCCGCAGGTGGAAAATACTGAGAGGACGCACGGGGGGCGGGGGATTCTGGCCAAACTGACGTCATCACAAGATTTTTTTTTTTCTTTAGTAGATTTATGTGGTAGCGTGTATTACTGCCTCATTCCTTTGGGGGGGGGGTATTTATTTTTAGAGGGAAGGGAAAGGAGGGAGAGAGAGAGAGAGAAGCATCCATCAGTTGCCTCTCACACACTCACAACCAGGGACCCGGCCTGCAACTCAGGCCCGTGCCCTGACTGGGAATCAAACCCATGACCTTTCAGTCCACATCCTGGCTCTCAGTCCACTGAGCCATGCCAGCCAAGACGTCACAGGATTCTTGATGAAGGCAGGCCAGGACATCAGGCCCCTCCTGGATGTGGCAGGGGAGGCGGAACCTGATCAGGTATCCAGAATGATCAGATGTGGACCATAGGGGATCCTTACTGACTGACTCAGCAAGATTTTTGCTAAAACTGGATTTTATAAGGAGGTGCACAGATGGGCCTCGAGGAGATACAGGAGCCTGACTGGAGTCGAGCAAAGAACCTTTGTCCCTTGGACAAGTTACTGAGCTTCATTTCTGACTCTTGAGAGTGGAGGTGAAATAGCCAGAGCACAGTGTTGTAAGGTGTGAATAAGAGCGTATGTGTGAGCACCAGGTACTGGGGAGGTGCTTCCGTCGTTCGTGTATCCAGTCTGTCCATCCACGCAGTGGACTGAGGCAGCTGGTATCCTTTCCTGGAGCCTGACTGGGCCCTGGCAGGGTCGAAGCATCACAGATTTTCAGACTGCGTAGGTTGCAGGAGGTGCTGTGGAAAAAGGTGGCGGCGGGGGGCGGAGGGTGGTGGGGAGGGATATCTTTTTTCTTTATCAAAGATTTTATTTATTTTTTAGAGGGGAAAGGAGGGAGACAGAGGGAGAAAAACACCAATGTGTGGGAGATGTTTTGAGGACCTGGGACAGGACAGTCCCTGAAGTCCCTTCCCCTCCTAAATGGGGACCTGGCGGCAACGCAGGCATGGGCCATGACCAGGAATCGAACCGGTGCGCTTTCGGTTTGCAGGCCCACACTCAGTCCACTGAGCCACACCAGCCAGGGTGGGAATTTCTTTAGGATTGAAGGAACCCAAAGGTTAGAGAGCCCACTGTCAGGGAGGCCTCTCTGCAGGCAGCTGACTAGTCCAGGCGGGGCGCCCCCCCACCCCCTGCCCGGGGCAGCGCAGCAGGCGAGAGCTCCGGGAGCTTTGGGAGCCCAGGGGACGGCCCTGGGGCAGGAGGAGAGCTGGCCCGGGCCAGGGATGGAAAGGAGCCCCTGCTGCGCTTCTCCCTCCATTGCCGCTCTTCCCCTTTCCTCTGCCTTCGCCTCTTTCCGTTCCCTCTGATGATGGTCCCTGTAGCAGGGGCAGCAGAAAGGGGAGGCCCTGGACGGCGGCTTTTCCAGAACCACGAGTGACAGTGTGGGTCCCTAAAGATTATGACGTGTTCTGGGAGGAAATCCCACATGTGGCCCCCGTGGCCCCAGGTTCCAGGCTTCCTGAGGGGGCCTGGACACCAGCGCTTACCTCAACCTCCTTCCCAGCCAGTTTCAGCTTGCGTTTCACAGAACTGCTGAAACGAGGCAGAAGAAATGTCAGATGACTTTTGTAGCCTGTGTTCCTATTGTGTCTGACGCCTCCTTTCAAAAAAAAAATCAGCTCTTTTTCTCCTTGGAGCTAAAATTATCCCTGAGCTAGAAGCACCGTAACTAAGTGAACACTGCGGGTCAGCGCTGCCGGCTCCCCTGGGGCTGCCGCAGCCGCGCTCCATCGGCTGGCGGGTTTGCACAGGCGCTGCTTACCCTGTGTGCACACGCGCGTGCACGCACACTGCCGCTGTCTCCCTTTGTGGTTCCCTCGTCCCTGAGCCTTTTCTTTTTCTTTTTTTTGGTTCCCTCGTGGTGATCCATGCCTTCCGCCTCTCCTGGCCTTGTTCTCAGATCAGCCTGCCTCTCACTTCCATGTGAACCACTTTTGTGAGGCTGTAGGGAACCTGGAGCCACTTAGTCCGCCACCTCCTTTCGCCCCTCCCACAGCCCGCTGGTCCCTAACTCCACCCACCACCACCACACGGCCAGGTAGCTGGGAACTGAGGGCAGAGCCTACTCTCCGTTATTGTTCCCCTTCTCCAGGAGCCCCAACAGTCCGTATGGGGACGTGATTGGCCTCCAGGTGGACTACTGGCTGGGCCACCCCGGGGAGCGGAGGAGGGAAGGTGACAAGAGAGACGCCAGCTCCAAGAACACCCTCAAGAGCGTCTTTCGCTCAGTACAGGTTTCCCGCTTGCCCCATGGTGGGGAGGCCCAGCTTTCTGGCACCATGGCAATGACTGTGGTCACCAAAGAGAAGAACAAGAAAGGTAGGTGACATCTGAGACCAGGGGCCATGAGGGCCACCAGACCCACCGTCTCAGGGTCCGGGACGGAATCTTCTTCTGGGAGACCTTGGATGAGGGTACAGCAGAGCGAGTATCATGTGGTCCAGCCAGGGGTCCCCCAGGGGTTCTGCCTTACCTTGTTGGACACGACCATCCTTCTGTAGGGAAGGAGTGACCCCCGGCAAGTCACTGGTTTCCGTCTGCTGCGTATCGGCAGCGCGGGGGCCAAGGCAGCTAGTACCGCCATGAGGAAGCGAGCCTTCAGACCCCTGCCCTCTGCGATGGGCTGTGCAGCAGAGGGGGGCAGCTCCATGCCACAGCCCCGAGGTCACCATGGCCCTGGGGGGCAGTGAGCCCTCACCCAACCGTGGAGGCCATTTGAGCCTTCGTAAGCTTAAGGGCGTAGTTTTAATTTTAAGAGTTAAGGGGGATATAGCCCATGCCAGACAAGAGGGGCAGCTTAAGGCACCAGAGGTAGAGTTGGGGTGGCCCTGGGCCCCAGGACACCGAGACAGGCAGCCCCACTCGCTGTGGGCTGTACACCCGCAGGTCTGGCTGAGCCCCTGCAGCGGCGGCCCCAGGGTCGCCCGGGGCGCTCACAGCGCCCCACTGCCAGCTGCCAGGAAGGAGGCTTCCTCTATCTGCCGGCCCCCTCCTGCGCTCCCACAGCAGCTGGGCCACTTCCTGTTCCCACCTCTGTTCCCCAGAGGTCCCAAGCCCACGGCAGGGGCCTGCCAAAGCCGCAGCTGCACCCCGAGATGGGCCTGGGGAGGATGGTCAGCCCAGCAGTGCCCTCCTCTTGCCTCGTCTCAGGCGGGAGTAGAACAAGGACCACATCCCAGGCAGCGCTGGTGCTGCTGCTGCCCTGCGGCCGCCCTCCCGGTACCACAGGCGCAGCCCTGCAGGGCCTGCGGGTGTCCCCCAGGCCACCAAGAACATCGAGCTGGAAGGGACTTCAGGGACCATCCTGTCCCAGGTCCTCATTACACAGGAAGATCCCTGTGGCCTGGGATGGGGGAGACCGGCGCTGAGATGTGGGAACTCCAAGATCCTGGGAGCAGGGGCTGAAGGAAGGCTTTCTGCAAACCACTTCCGCTTCCCACGGGGAGAGGGGCCGGGAGCAGAGGAGGAGGCGCTTGGCTGCTTCAGCAGGGCTTCACGGGACAGATGGGCTCCCGCTTGCTTTCCAGTTCCTACCATCTTCCTGAGCAAGAAACCTCGAGAAAAAGAGGTGGATTCTAAGAGCCAGGTCATCGAAGGCATCAGCCGCCTCATTTGCTCTGCCAAGCAGCAGCAGACCATGCTGAGAGGTGGGCACAGCTCGGAGAGGGGGCAAGGGACTGCGGGGGCAGGAAAGCGGTGCCCCCAGGGACCCTGGGAGGGCGGCCTCAACAATCCTGGTTGTTCCCTGCCCTTGCTGTCACCCCCAGTGTCCATCGACGGAGTCGAGTGGAGTGACATCAAGTTCTTCCAGCTGGCGGCCCAGTGGCCCACCCATGTCAAGCACTTTCCAGTGGGACTGTTCAGTGGCAGCAAGACCACCTGAGGGCACTGTCTCCAGGCCACTCCCTCCTGGCATTGCCACCAGCCTCGCCACCTGCGGGCAGGAGGAGGCCAGCGGGCCCAGGCTCAGCACCCCTTCCCTGGTGCGGGGCCTGCGTCTCCCTCGCCCAGTCCTGAAGGACACTGCCACTGGGGACACTGCCCCTCCCCACTGCTCCGTCCCCTGGGGCAGACCCCTCCCTTCTCCGCAGCCCCACCCCCAAGGCATGTTGATTTTGCCTTGTGGCACCCGGTCCCTGGAATTGAGTCCTCCAGGCCTGCCTTCCCCTGACTCCCAACCTCTTCCCCCCACGTGGCACCAGTTCTCTTCGCTGAAATAGGAAACCTGGCGGGGAGCCCAGCCCTCCCCTTGCCCTCCCTACAGCCCAGCTGATGGAGCTGCTCAGGCTGAGCCCTCGGGACCCTCCCCGCCTCGCTCCCAGGACTTCTGTGGGAGTGCTGTGTATTCTGCGAGGGAGAGGCCTTTCTGGTCTCCCCCACACGCATCTTCACCGCCCCGCCAGGCCCCCTGTAGCTGCGGCCTGGGTCCTGAGCATTTCTTTGGTTCTTTGCACGGCCAGTCTCTTGGTAGTCCCATGTGACTCACCTGGGCACCGGTCCCTGTCCTGTGCTTCCCCTTGTTGATTCTCCCTCTGCCTCCCCCCCACCCCCAGCACACTCTTGTCTCTTCCTGAAGTTCTGGACTCTGCAGGAGGGGGCAGACCCCCATCGGTGCGTTGTCTGTGGCGCCCCAGCCCCTTTACCCTCGTTCCCAGCACGTCCCTCTGCCCCGCTGTTCGTGCCGTGTTCTTCGCCTCACTCCTGGGCCCCTGGTCTGGGCCAAGACCCCATTCTCCCAGCGCGGGGTCCCTTCCACAGGCTTCATTCCTTCCCTCTCCCCGCGGGCTCAGGGTCTGAGCTTCTCCCCAGCCTCAGCCTGAGTCAGCCTTCTCAGGAGAGGCTGAGCACACTGGGTCAAGATCCCAGCCACAGCCCTCCGTTCCCCACCAGCACCTCCAGAACTTGATCGTTGCCCTCTCACCCCTTCCAGAAGTTTGCACAGAACTTCATTTTGAAAAGTCTCTCATTCTCCATACCTCCCCCGCACTGCTCCAGCCCTGACGCACGGCTCAGCCCGGCCGCCCTGAGCGCCTCCCAGGCGCGTGGCACTCCCAGCCGGAGGGAGTGAGGAGCAGGAGGGACCGAGTGGATGCTGGGTTTTTCATTGAATAAACCGGTGATTTCTTACCAACAAGCAAGCCTTGGACTTCCATGCCTCTCACTGTGACTCAGGATTTGTCCAACCCCCACCCCTGCACAACGCAGCCAGCTTCACGCAGAATCCACTAGGAGCTGGCTTTGGAAAGAAGCAAATACCCATTGTAATTGTAGAAACAGCCATGAAGGTGTCTTGCCAGTAGGGGGCGAACTGAGGTCAGAAACAAGTAATGCCATGGCCATTCCACCTCCCATTTTTTTTCCTGGGACTCATCCCCAGTCCCACCTCCCAAGGCAGCGACACTTCACGACACTTGTCTGAGGATTCGAACTTGGCTTCTCACCCCTACCAGGCTGGCATTGCCTAGTTTCTGGAAGCTGGTAAACGCTGAGGCCAAAGGGCTCTCTGCCTCTGCAGGTGGCGAGGGTGGGACTGGGGTCTGTCACTAGGGCAGTCCAGACCCCTTAACCTTCGAGATGGCAAACAGTCCCAGCCCTGTGTCCTGGTGCCGGGTTCTCCACACCCCCAGGACCGGCCTGCAGGGCGGCCACAGAGGGGCAGACGGCCTGTCATTGGCTCTCCAAACCCTGTGGCCAGATGACCTAAGGGAGGCTCTGGGACCCGGGGGCGTGGCCCTCTGCAAATTCTTAGCCTGGAAAACGGAACTAATCCTGCTTCCTGGGAGACAGTCGGGTGAGGTCTACGAAAGTGTCCCAGGATATGACCTGCACGTCAGCGAGCACACCAAGCTGTACAATATGGTTGGTGGGAGGAAACGCCTCAGACTGAGCCTGAGGCAATGAGAGAACACGAGTGGTCACCAGGGCAGGGCGGCACTGCGGGCACCTGGGAGCCAGGGGTAGTGCCAAGGCGGAGGGGACAAGCGGGCTTGGGTCCCCGCTCAGAACTGAGAGGAGGCAGCAGGCAATGGGGAGGTGACAGTAAGGAGGAGACATGAACTCCAGCCTGCCTGCCGGACTCCAGGGCCTCAGCCTGCCCCCGCCTATGGTCCCTCGCGCCTTCTACAGGGCCTCGCTCTGCTCCACACGGGACCCTCTCTCCCGCATCAGACGTTCCCACACTCCATGGCTCTCTCAGGACCACACAGTGACAGCTCCCATGTTTAAAACACCTTCCTCGATTCTGGAGCCCCTCCAGCTGCCACACTGTCTGCCTTGCACACCCTGGGCTCCACCCGCTCCACCCCCGGCTGTCCTTCCCCACCGTGTGAAGTGCTCCCTCTACACAGGCTTCTCCCTCCATTCCTTAGTGGCTGAGGCCAGAAACTTTGGGGTTGTCCCTGACCCCTCTTTCTCTCAGACGCAAGGTCCAGTCCACCCTTCAGGACATATCCAGATCCCAGCAGCAGCCCCTCGCTGTCCCGGCTGCTGCCACCACCCATGGCTGCATCCTGCAACAGGCTCCTTATTTCTGCTTCCACCTAGTCAGCAGGTAGTCTCTTCTCCACACAAGAGCCAGAGAGAGGAGCCTTTTAAAATGTTAATCAGATTGGGTTAAGTTACTGGTCCAAATGGTCCACCGGCTTCCACTAGGAATATAATGCAAAGCTATCGTCCTAGCCGCCAGGCCTACCTGGTCTGACCTCCCGAGGGCTGCATGATTATCTCACTCACCGACCTCAGGTACATTCCTCAGACACACCCTGGATGTCTGCCTCAGGGCCTTTGCACAAGCCATTCCTCCGGCCTGCCCATGCCATTGCTTCCCCAGGTCCCTGTGGCTTGCCCCTTCATTCGAGTCTTGGCTGGAAAGTCATCTCAGAGAAACCTTCCCTGCTCAGCCTGTCTCAACTAGCACCTTCCTTTTCTCTCACCCTTCTTTGCTTTTATTAGCACTTCTCACTCCTTGGCATTAGTTTTTGTTTGTCTCGCCCCTCGAGAATGCAAGCTCCGAGAAAGCTGTATTCCCCCCCCCCATACATCCTTGGTCCCCAGGGTGTCCCCTGGCTTGTTACAGGCACACAGTATGTGTTGGTGACCGAGAAAGAAGACCCCTTGTCCTGTTGCAACAGGGTCCCTAATCCGGACTTGCAACTCAGACCTTCTGAGGACTCAGCCCAAAGGACACGCGAGCTTCCTCAAAGGCCCTGAAGGAGAAAGACAGACTCCTACTGTGAGCAAAGAGGAGGAAGAGGGTTGTGTAGGAGTGGTTTCCAGGCTCCTAGACACGAGGCAACCCAGACAGGAGGCTTACGACGGAGCCGGCTCGCCCTGCCCCCACCTGGGGCCTGCGGAGCGAAGGAGCAGAACTGTCCGCGAAGCCACCAGAAACAGTCCCCAAAGGCCAAGAGATGGCCTTTTGGTGCAGAAGATGGAAGAGCCCATGTGTAACCTGCACACCAACTCCAGACTCCTTTTATTTTTAATTTAAATAAACTTTTTATTTTACAATAGTTTTAGATTTACTGAAAAGTTGCAAAGATAGAACAAAGCTGCAGTCTACACCTAACCCGGTCTCCCCATTACTAACATGTTACGTTAGTGTTACGTTTACTATAACCAATGAACTAACACTGAGACATTATTATTTACTAAAGCCCATGTTTAACTCAGACTCCTCAGCCCTCCCCTGACGACGTTTCTGCGTTCCAGGATCCCACCCAGGACACCGCACCATGTGGAGTCCTCTGGGCTCTGGCGTTTTCTCCGGCTTTCCCCATTTTTGAGGACCGTGAGGGTTTTGAGGAGTCTTGGTCGGGTGTTTTGCAGGATGCACCTCGACGAGGATTTGCCGGTGCACCCCATCAAGGCCACCTCATCAGCGCCGCCCCTCAATCACGTTCAAGTGGATCGCGGGCGGGGCGCGTTCGGACCAGGCCAGGGCAGCCCCGCCCACACCGCGCTGGGGGCGGCACCCTGCAAGCCGCTCCCTCTCCGTCGCGGAGTGGAATTCCTTCCCCACCCACTGCCCTGTCCCAGGACTGGCGGCACGAGCAGCCCTTGCGCTGTCACCTGCCGCCAGGCTGCTGCCCAGTGCGTCCTGTGGTTTCTGTCACTGAATCCTCAGTGCGGCCCTAGGAAATCAGTTTGGCTGCTACTTCTTTTTTACCAAGGTGGAAGTCAAAGGTCAGAGCTGCCTTCCCAACTCCAGACTCTCGTTTCTAACCACGTATTTGCCTTGAATACTCACAGACGTCTCAAACCTAACGAGGTCAGAATGTGTCCTCAGTCTTCCCCCTTCTAATATGTGACACCGGGATCCCTCTTCTCACTCAAACCAGAAACCAATGAGTCTCTGTGTATCATGAGAGCAGCTCCTGTCCATTCCGCTTCCCCTGCTGGAGTCCCATAGAGGTTTCCTCACAGAACTTTGAACTCTGCTGCCAACCCGTGGTCCCTCGGGCCAGGCCCGGCCTGCCTGTCGCTTCACTTCCAGCTGCTTCCTCCCCTCCCCGCTCCCTCCACCCCCCTTGAGCCACAGCTGACCTTTCAGTAATCAGATCCCTCTTCCCTGCACTTGGGCCTTCACATGCTCTTGGGTCCCCCTCAAATGCTCTCACTGCCCTGCACTTAACCCCTTTGCCAACTCATCACTTCCTCAGAAAGGCTTTCCAACCCCCCTGCCCAAAGCCGGTCGCCGGCCATAAATGTCGGTGCACCACATTAGAATGAGAGTTCCAGGAGGGCGGGGGCTTGGGCTGACCCAGTGCTGCAGCCCCAGCACTGGTCACGCAGCCCAGCAAACACCAGCTAAAGGTAGAGTCGGGGTCCCGCTCCTTGTCCGACACGCACAGGTGGCGGCAAAGGAGCCAGATTGCTAACCCAGGTCATCGGGCTGCAGGCCACCTCTCACGGCCCTCCTCAGAACCCAACTTTCCCAACCATCTGTGCGTCCTGCACACACGCAGCTCCTCCTGTGGGCCAGCTCCTGTCCTAGGTATGATGGCGCCAGGCTGAACACAGGATTGGATCCTTGCCTACATGAGAACCCTTAGACAAGCAGGGGGAGAAAGAAAAAATAGACAATTGCCACACAACGTAAGAGGTTGCGTGGCATCCCCCAGGGAGAACATCTTATCCAGCCTGGGGAGAGGTGCCCAAGATGGTGCCTCAAAAGAATGACACCAGAGCAAAAGATGCCTGACACGGTGGGTGTTCTGGGCACAGGAAATACCAACAACTAGAGATGCAAGAGCCACAGCGGTCCGTGTGGCTGGAAAGCAATGGGGGTGGTGCGGGACCAGGCGGAAGAGGAAGGAAGCGGCCAGGGCCCCAGGGAGCCCCACAGCTGTGATTCCTACCTCTCTGGGTCGGAGTGTAGACTGTGTGCTTCATCCTGAGATCCGTGGGGAGCCGAGAAAGGGTGTTAGGCAGAAAGACAAGAGGATGGACTTTAGAAAGGTGGCCTTGCTACCACACGTGGAAGGAAATGAAACTGGAGACCAGAAGAGTTGGAAGGGTATTACAGCAATTTAGAAAAGATGTAGCCAAGATAGACCAAGGCAAGGGTAGAAGAGGTGGGGAAATGGGACTGCAGCTTTATTGAAGAGATGGGATCAATAGGTTGATTGGGAAACAGGGTCCAAGGAGAGAGAGTCAAGGATCGGGCCTGGCCTCCGGCCATGGGTGAATGGGTGGATGGTGGGACATCCTTGGAGATCTGGGTGGGAGGTGGTTGGTTTGGCACGAGGATGGGGGGCTGTCCATAGGTGGGCATCCAAATGGAACTGAATATATAGGTCTGGACAGAGTCCTGGGGGGTGACCTGCTGGAAGGAGAGCCGGGCTTCCTCAGCGTGTGCGAGAGCTGACCTCAGGCAGACAGCGAGGTCACCCTGGCTGGCGGAGCGCCCTCCATCCGGACTGCATAGGGCACCTACATCCAGCACCAAACATCTTAGCATGTGTTACATTCAGTCTTGCCCTTCTCTCTGCGGCCCCAGAGCCCTCACTTTCACTCTGAGCGGCTCTCTCTCCAGCGGCGCCATAAGCAGCGGAGCCCTATGCTCCATGTTTTTTCTCCCCACACTCCATTATCTAGCACAGGATCTGTTCAGTAGTGAGCTTGATGGT